ATTTCATTAGAGCTTCAATTGTGAGCACCTGGTTTGCAGACAGTGCTGGATGACAGTGAAAGGGCCAAACCCATTCGCAGAGTTCCCATGCAGAGTAAGCCTCGGACAAACGCCCTCAGACCACTGACAGAGGGACGGCAGCAGGCTTGCCCTCAGACAGAGTGCATTCCAAGTGGGATGACCGCAGACCCAGTTCGGTTAAGAGTGCATTCCAAGTGGGATGACCGCAGATCCAGTTCGGTTAAAATTCACATACTATCATTTGTTTTTCTTCTGACCCATGTTTAATTTCTTCTAACTTCTATTATCTTCTGTGTTCTCTTGGATTAAGGTTTTGTTGTTGTTTTTGGTATAATTTTCTTTAGATGAGACCCAGGGTAAGTAATTCATAGCAGCAGTAATTAATCATACTCTATTATGGCAGGGAAGGTGGAGAGGTAAGGGGGAACTAATAATAATGGGTACAGGAATGAATGAAATGTTCTAAATTTGATTGTGGTGATGACTGCAAAACTCTTTTAAATATTTTTAACCCATTGAATTGTATGGAATGTGAATTATATGCTAATAAAACTGTATTAGAAAGACCCATAGGTTATATATTGCTGTCCGTTATTATCTCATTTCTACAGATGAGGCCCACAGGGATAAGGAATTTGCTCAAGGTCATCCAGGTGTGAACTGCATCTATACTAGAATTTGCCCTAGAGCCATGCTCCTTTCTAGTCTCATCTCAGACCCCTCTTCTGTAAATGCTGGTGATGCCACCAGTGGGTGTGGGGTGTTAAGCCCAAACACCACAGCCCAGGTGGCTTGCCCGCCTCTGTATTCTGGCTCTCCTGGTGAAAGCCTTTTGAAGTGCAGTTATTTATTTATTTTTTTAAAAATAGTTTTATCGGGGGCTCATACAACTCATCACAATCCATACATCCACCCATTGTGTCAAGCACATTTGTACAATTGTTGCCATCATCATTCTCAAAACATTTGCGTTCCACTTGAGCCCGATATCAGCTCCTCATTTCCCCCTCCATTCCCGCTCCCCCTCCCTCATGAACCCTTGATAATTTATAAATTATTATTATTTTGTCTTGTAGTACAGTTATTTAATGTGGCTCTTCTAGTCATTATCTCTGTAACTTCCACCCAACAACTGCAGTAACTTCTTCCTAATGGGCCTAGGTAAGAAGGTGGGGGAACATAAAAGCATGGGGTGGGTGGGTGTTGGTGTGGATTTCACTACTGGCAAGAGAGAAGAGCCAGGAAGGGAGCATATCCTTTGGACCCTAAGCCCCTGTGCATGAAACCTCCTTGATCCCACACAGAGACTGCTCTGAAACCAGGTGAGTGGCAGAGGAGCAGCAACGGCCGGACCAGGAGCCAGAGCACAAGCTGGAGACGTGGACTTCGCAGCACATGGAGCAGGAAAGCTGAGTGCGTCTGGCCAAGTGGCTGGCTTTGGGAGTGGGGTTCCTTTGGACGCTTAACAGGGTGAGCTGGAGCCAAGTGCCAACGGGATGAGACTTCTGGCAGAGTGGCGTGGCTTCTGGACACTTCCTGGCAGCCCTAAAAGAGCTTTGTAACATTGCCTGAACAGGTCAGAGGCAAGGATGAGAGACTGGGGGCCAGAGAGAGGTCTGCCTGTGAGCACAGCGGAGAAGACACTGTTCTGATTGAACAAGGGCATCCTGAGTGTTTCTTACCGGAATTGTAACCTGTTAGCTGCCCTGACCAACCCCATAATCAGGAACACTGTCTGTGAGTTCTGAGTGGCAGCGAAGGAGAGGGGCACCTTTCCATCCCTCAACTACAGTGTCAGGCCCTCAGGGAAGTCTTTCTATGGAGCAGACTGCACCCCACTCATCCCCTAGAGCTCTTCCTCCTCTGGTTTCTCAAACATGCTTGGTGAAGTGATGAGTTTGTCCCTGACCTGCCTCCTGGCTTCTACAGAACTGGGCAGGCCGAGTGAGCAAGCGCTTCTTTTGCAGGTGAGGTTGAGCAAGCGCTTCTTTTGCAGGTGAGGTTAACAGTCTTTGACAGACAGCAGACACGTTTATCAAAGAAGATCCTCCAGACTCCTTATCCCTGATCCCGATGGCTGAGCAGGAGGAAAAGTAAAACTGAAGTCGGCGTGGAGCCTTTAGTAACATACAGGTTCATTTCAAACATAAGGGGAAAAGGGATCATTAAATAAGATGTGGGGGTAGGAGCTGGGCTATCTTCCTATCTTCATTGGCCGCAATGACATTGAAAAAAAGAGAACATGATCAAGCTATAGAACAACATGCTGAAGGTGATGAAGGTCACTGAGCTGGGTATATGGGCTTCCCAACCTTTATAGAAATCCTTATCTTTTCATTCTGTTTTCCAGGAAGTTTCTAATGATCCCTCTCAAACTATTAAAAATGGTCAAAATGGCAACTCCATCGTGGCAAACTGTCCCCTAGGGATTACCTGGTTTTGATCACCACAGCAGTCCTTTCTCCTGTGGAGATGCCAGGTGGGTTTGAACCGGCAACCTTTGGTTGGCAGTCCAGCATTTCACTTGTGTCACCAAGACTCACACATGCAAATGTGAAGACGACGTCGCCTCATATGCTTGCTTTCCCAGAAAATCCCTCTCCCCCAACTTCTTCCCTTCGCCTCTTTCCTGCCTCCCATCTGAGTGGTGGTGAAGAGGACACGCAGGGCCAGCACCGCGGGCTGGGGTCTTGCCTGTGCTGTTAACTAGCTAAGGAGTTTTCACCTTCCGAACTCTTTTTCCTCCTCTCTGAATCGGGGACAAAATGTCTCACAGGGATAATGGAGATCCTATTTTAAAGCAATTAGATAGTGAGTGCCTAGAACATAGCTAGTGCTCAATGTCCAGCTACGGATCTAGAACATTCCAACACTGTGAACTGGAGGAATTCCACGAGCTCCCAGAGCTCTCCATTGGAAAGGTAACAAACATAGGAGACTTGGGGAGGTGAGCCTCGGGCAAAATTTCTAGAATGAGTTTTTGTGGGGTGGGATGTCTCCGGATTCCAAAGTTATGTCTCGTTACGAGGGCACTTGACAACACTCGTGGGAAAAAAATCTACGATCTTTTCATCCCATTTTCCAAGAAATTTGTGTGACGCCTCCTCTTGCATTGTTTCTGAATTGGCTGTGCCTGTCCTTCTTGGCATCTGTTCCGATGCTCGGCCTGCTTTCCTAATGAACCACCAGATCCAGTTGCCACCAACTTGATTCTGACCTCTATGTATCAGGCTAGAACTGCGCCCCCCACAGGGCTGCCAGTGCTGGTGTTGGGAGGTGGATCACCGAGTCTTCCTTCCGACATGCCTAAGAGCGATGATCCCTTAACCATTTATTATGGACAGACATGATGCTAAGCCGTACGTCTTGCCTCAATATTCCTCACGCCGACCTTGCTCATTCCATATTGTTACTCACATTTTAAAGATGAACATTGATGTTTACGGAAACAAAAACTCAAAGTCACAGGTAGTAGATAATGAAGCTGGATTCCAAATAGTCAGACAGAGAAAAACAAGGTGAAGCTTAAAGCACACAGCTGAAAACGTAGCCCAAGTGCTTTAAACTATCAGTGAATCCCCTTAGAGTTGAAAAAGCATCAGCATGAAATGCATCTTAAGAGGGGAAAAAATAACTAATTCATTTAACTACTGAACCATGCATCCAAGGAACAATGTCCCATCTTAATGCCTGGGGGGAAATTACCTTCAATAAAAGCAACTAATAAAAAAGCAATGTAAAGTGAAAAAAAAAACACCCCAAAACAAAACACATAGCTACCTTTTGTACCCTTAATTTCTCATGAGCATATTCAGAAAATTGTGTCCTGAGAGAACAGAAGAGCCAACCCTTGGCTGAGGGGAAAGACAGGCCACCAGTCAGAACGGGGTGGCATGGTTAGCTGGGGAGTTCACAGCCAAGGACCCGCAAGAGCACGTTGATCCCGGGAAGGCCTCGGGCGACATCGGTCTTACCATGGGTGCCGAGCTGCCTGCTCACACGTGTATCTTTTATTTGGATCTTTCTCCATCAGATTCCGAATGAAGTCTTTAGCTGTTTAAAAAGAAAGCACAAGAGAGGGGATGAGCTTGTGGCTGGAGCTGAGCCACAGGGCACCACCACCAGGTCTCTGAGAATAGTGTGGGGCCGGGGAGACGCAAGAGCAGCTCTGCAGTAGCTGGCCGCACAGGGACACAGAGGGCTGCAGGGACCAGTCCTGGGGAACAGGGGACCCCGAGGAAGTGAGGCCTCAATCCTTGACTCTTGACTCTCTGGTTCAGCATGCCTTCTCTCTAGCACTCAGTGACCCCTTATGTGAAAGAAGAGCCCAAACATCTTCCTATACTGTGTACACGACTGCCTGAGCGTGCTGTTTTGTGGATGTCCCTACGTGTTTCAGACATCACCAGTGTAATGACATTCACTGGGCACCGACTAAACCTTCCGGGTCCTGGGCTCGGTTCTGGGGCGGGGGTGGGAGGGGGCACAGAACATGCAAACATTCAAGGTGCACTATCTGCTGCCCACTGGTGAGCTGCGGTCAAGCCAGCGCTGACTTGTGGGGAGCCCATGGACAACAGGAACAACAGGAGGGGCAATGTCCCATTCTGCACCCTCCCCAAGGTTGCTGGGGGGCTTGCGTCACTGTGCATTCTGAGCACCTCCCAACCTGGGGGGCGTCTTCCAGCACTGTCTCGGACAATGTTCTGTTATGACCCGCGGGGTGTTCACCGGTTAATTTTAGGAACTGAATCACCCAGCCTTTCGCTCTAGTCTGTCTCAGTCTGAATGCTCTACTGACACCTGTCCACCGTGGGTGACTGTTAGTATTTAAAATACCTATCAGGGGCCTAGCTGCCAGTGTCCCAGGCTGCCAGTGTCCCAGGCATGACAGTACAACACACTGGCAGATGGGTGGTGGGCAGCCACTCAGAGTGCTGCAATTAATTGAACAGGAAATTGCAATGGCAGGTGGCATGTACTGCCAAAGTGGAGGTCGTGTGCTTGGAGGAGACGTCGGACATTGAGCATGTGAAGAATGGGGTCACCGAAACTGAAGGCTGATGCCAGTGTGCCAGGATTGGCACTCCAGGGGCGGTGGTGCAGTGGCTGCAAGGCAGTGAGGACCCTCCCTCCCTGAGAAGTAAAATATTCTTCAGGCAGCGCTTTCCTTCACGCCTTTACAACTGTCTTCTGGGCCCAGGTTGTGGAAGATAGTCATAAAATGACACAGCTCAACCTGAAAATGCTCACTGGGGTGTTGAACGCGGGTTGCCGCATACCGCAGGGCTTTGGAAAGTTCGTGGAAAAATAGAGGTAGAAGATAAGGGAATTATTCCACCCACTTTTTGAAGCCACCTCATCGTACTTCATTTAACCCTTCCACAAACCTCAGTGGGAGGAGGGAGGAGGGGAGGTTTAGTCAACCAACTCGGTGCTTGGGTTGCGATCTTTATCCCTGAGGAAGACGTGGCGAGTTTCCCTGGGAATCCTTCAGCGTGGCATAATAGCTCAGACATGAGCTCTAAAGATTGTTCAAATCCCAGTGTGACGCTTGCTAGCTGTGTACCATTGGTCGAGCAGTGCAACTTCAGTTTCTGCATCTGCCAAATAGGGACAAGAGTAGGATCCACCTGAAAGTTTCCCTGGAGGACTAAACGAGCTCATATAGGTACAGAGCTTATCGTGTTGGCCGCATAGCATGTGCACAATAAACTCGACCTCACATTGCTCCACTGGGAGCATCACAGTAGGGCTACAAGTGGTAGGTGGGGGCGTCTCCCATCCTAACCCCACATATGTAGGTCAGGAAGATTCTTCCAGAGCCTCAGGGTTCTCCTGGGTCCCAGCCCCAGCCTTCCCTGGGCCTGCCCGCTGGGAGCTGCCAGGGACCTACCCGAGTCGGAGATGTCATCCCAGTAGGGGGAGTCGAACTCATATTCTGCCTTGAGGATCTGCTCAAAGAGTTTGGAGTCATTTTCGTCGTAGAAAGGAGGGTAGCCACAGAGCCTGCGAGACAAGAGGGGTAAGGATCAGAATCAGCTTGCTATCAGAAGTGCTGCTTCCGGGCTCTGCCTCTGGAGGAAAGAGATGTTTGTCACTGAGTGAAAGAAGCCTTCCCTGGGGGTGTTACAAATATGATCGCGGTAAAGTCATCCACAGCCTATGGGTGTCAAAGATCAGAAATTCTGATTTAACGACCAGCAGAAGTGGTTGACTCGGGTGATGATCAAGGAGAAACACATCTATTTACATTCGCTGTAACGCTTTGTGCATTATTGGGCACAGAACCCAAGACACCCCGAAACAACTACCTGAAAGCCTCCTTTGTGAAGTTCACAGCCTAGGGGCTTTCCGACACAGGGCTGCTCTGTCCTGTAGCATGGCCATGAGGCAGAATGCACTCAAAAGCACACACGTCAACGATAGCCTTGCCCGTCAGTGAACACGTGCCACCAGGAGGGGCTGGCACCAATTGTAACACTGCATGGCCAGGTTGCAACCCACCATTCCAGCCACGGCACCATTTCAAAGTTGACGTTCAGAAGATCGAATTAGGGTGCTGCAGCAAGTCATGTGGAGTTCTGGGGGGCACCCACATTCATCTGACAACGTTGCTATTAATGAATTTTTTTGGCTATTAATTAATTAATATTTTGATTAACTATCTGACATTCCACAGAATCACGGGCCTCGCTCCAGTATTGCCTGGCATCCTGGGGTCACTTGCAGCTCACAGATACCCCAGGGGACAGAGCCGACGTGCCCCACGGGTTTCCTAAATTGTAATCTTTATGGAAGCAGATTGTCAGTTCACATGAGTTTGAACTGCAGACCTCGCCATGAGCAACGAAGTACTTAACCATTGAGTCACCAAGGCTCCTTGTGTGACTTTCAGTTGACCACGAACACGTTTATTTGGGGAGGGGGTGGCACGCACCACATTTGCTCATCTAAACACATGGAGACTAATGTTTCTAACATCCTTTCTGGCTTGGAGAAGCTGTGGTCCTCTCCCAATGCATTTGGCTGGGTGAATATGGAGAAAAAGATGGCATCAGAGGCAGGCTCTGGCTGAGACTTGGGAGGCAGGAGGGGCGGGCTCGGGGCTGCAGCCACACCTGATCCACAGAGCAGAAGGCAGGCCTACTTGGTTTTGCTGAGGCGCAAAGCAGGAGCCTCAACAGCCCAGAGGGTGGCAGCCGCCCCCCCACCCCCACCCCCAAGCAGCAGCTCTGTTCCCAAATGAGGCCCTCCATCTTCCCACAAAGCCAGACTTTCTTCAAAACACAGCTCCAGCCTAGAGACTACTTTAATGAGAACAAATGAACAGGAATCCACAGACTCTGGGCCGGCAAGGGATTGGGCTGCCGGCAAATAAGAAATGTAATAAAAGGTTAGAAAAACTGCCTCAGCTCGATCGTTCTTCAGGCCTCTCCTTCCCAGAGCTGCCATAGCGTCGGGCCACCTCTGCGGAGGGGAATGGTTGATGACATTTTTAAAGGCTGCAGACATCCTGTGGGCCGATAACATTCAGACTCATCTATCCCCACAAGGTTGATTTAGAGTCTAAGTGCCTGGAAAATTTCACTGTTAGAGATTGGCTGCTTTGGGTTAAGCGAACAGGAGCTGGAGCTTCAGAAACCACGGAGCACACATTATTTCACTGCCCAAAGAAACCCCAAAGCTGGAGCCGGCTATGCAAATGTGTCCCACCATGAGATGAAATGTGCACCAGAGGAAAGGCACTGGGCTCCTAGTCAAAGGTTCAAAGCCACCAGCTGTCCCCGGGGGAAGATGTGGCAGTCTGCTTCTGTAAAGACGTACATCCCTGGGGGCCCTCTGGGACAGTTCCGCTCTGTCCCGTAGCATCCTTCTGAATCGGAACCCACCCAATGGCAATGTTTTCGTTTTCTTTTTCATTAGGAGACAGGCAGACAGAAGGAAAAGTTACTTCGTCTTGGAAAATTCTAGATTTTAGCAAAGTCAGGTTTTTGCTGATTAACCCACACAGTATGTTTTACTTTCTTATTTGGCTCTCTTTTCAAAGGAAAAGAAACTCTTTAGGAAAATCCCCAGAAAAAAATGTATACCTCGTGTCAATGTCCTGAACACATACTCTTATTTTCCTGGGATGCTGTGTTTATGGGGCTGGCCTGGTGCAGGGCATTTTGGTGGTGGCGGTGTTAGCTGCCATGAAGTGCCGCACACAGCCTCCCGCACCCCAGGCAGAAACACCGCCTGGTCCGGCAGCAGCCCCACCCTTGGGCCACTGTGAGCCATAGGCTTTCCATTGACCGATTCGTGGAAGCCGATCCTCAGGCTTTTCCTCCTGGTCTGGACGAGCCAGCATCTGCGAGTAGACACAGGCGGTGGCTGGGGATGAGGTGTGGTGGCTGGGGATGAGGGACGCTGGCCGGGAATAGAGCCTGGCTTTCTCACACGGGAAGTGACAATTCTAACCCCGAACAACCACTGCCTCCAGCTTGGGCTGGAAGTTAACCTGCAGACCGTTGTGGTCGTTAGATGCCATCGAGGGATGACCCTGTGTACAACAGAAGGACACACTGCCTGGTTGTGCGCCGACCTCACCCTGCTGCTTATGTGTGACCGCTTGTTGCAGCCCCTGTGTCAATACGGCAGGAAGAGGATTGTGAACGAGGGTTCTCCAACAAGATCAGAAAAGGAGAGCAGGGCAAGCGGAAGTTGTAAGATCACACCCAGGGCTGGGCGTTTCACACAGAGTTCCCCGGTCAGGCAATTTCATTGAGGTTTGTGTGTGAGAGGCAGGCGCACAGGAGACAGAACAACTTTGGCCGCGTGCCTTCGTACGCAGAGCACATGCGCATCTAGCATCTATGGTCACGGGCCTGCCTCGCTGCACAGGGCAGCCCCATGCTCTTCACTAATGTTTCTGAAGAGTGCTTCATTTTCATATGTGAAACCATTTCAATGATCCACAAATGACAGCACTCGAAGACGACAAAGCCAGTCTAGGCTTTCTTGGCCGCAAAGCGTATGGCTCATCCTATCAACATCTCCCAGTTCAAAGATGGTCATGTCCAAGTGCTGCATTCCAGTCTCAGGTCCATCCTCCAGGAAGAAGTGTTATTGCTTTCCAGTCTGTCCTGCTGTTGTTTACTTTGTCATCTTACCTTCCAGTCACATGTTTATACACATGAAATATACTCCTAGATTCCGATTTGCTGTAACCTGAATGGAGTCATGTGGCGTCAATACTTTCATTAGGAGCTTTATTGCATTAACTCCCTAAAACCTCCCCACCACCACCCATGAGGTAGGCGGGCCAGGCGTCTTTACTTCCCCCACTAAAGAGCCATTCAGGTCTGCCCTGTGCCTGGGAGGCTGACCCACATGGGTGAGCATGTGAGTTCTTAAGCTCTCCGACGCTTAGTGGAGTCCAGCCAATAAAGATCCCAAAGGAGACAGGAGGGCAGGATGAAGGTCAAGGAGGTCACAGAGTCTACTCCTTTGGGTCGCTCCTACCAACTTCTCCTTGGGCTGATGATAGATCCCTGACTGAAGGTCAATGTTCCTCTCAAGATACTGACGACCAGCTTCTCTCTCTGGCTTCCAGGAAGGGAGCCTCCTCATCCCACTAGGTCTGAAAGTGTTTACAGCTCGAATGCTACCAAGTCCACTGCCTCGCTGTTATGCCTGTGTGTCTCCCAGGCTCCAACTTTGTTGTTGTTGTTGCTCTCAGCTGAGGCGTCTGGCTCATGGCAGCCCCAAGGTTGAGGCTTCTGGCTCATGGCAGCCCCAAGGTTGAGGCTTCTGGCTCATGGCAGCCCCACGTGAGAGAGGCGAGCTACCCTGAGGATTTCCTAGGCTGCCACCTGGTTCCACGTTGGGCTGTTAATGGCAAAATCACCTGCCGCTCCTTGGGACCAAGACGTCAGGTTTCTCTTCTTTGAAACCCACAAGGGCAGTTCCATGAGTCAGAGTTAACTTGATGGCAGTGAGTTTGTTTGTGGGCTCTTCGTGGAAGAAGATCGCCATGTCTCTTTCCTGAGGACCAGCTGGGTCAGCTTGACCAGTTAGATAGCAGCCAGGCGTCTAATCCGTTTCCCCACGGATGCAAGTCCTCCATAAGCGATCCTCTGTTCAGTCGTCCCTCTGTTTTGCCGCACCAAGCTTAAAGGCAAAAAGAAAAACAAACAAAGCCCCCGCCCCCTCAGATTTAGAGAGTCAGCGATGTTTTGATTGGATTGTTTAGCTTTTTGTTGCTGAGCTGTGGAAATGTTCCATGAATTTTAGAGATGAGACCATTATTAGCTATGTCCTCAGCGGAGGACCCCGCCCCTCATCTGCAGGGTCTTTGTTTACTCTTGTGGTAAAGTCTGTGAATGAGCTGCAGTGCTTCCTTAAGGACCTCACCAGACGTCGGGCAGATTCATGGCTGGGTGAACACTTTTAAGGATAAGGCTCCACCCTTAGCTCTTGAACCCCTGAGACTGGACTCTGATCTAGAGACAAGGATGCAAAAGAGCCACTGCTGCCTCCAAGGTCCCAGCCAACCTGACTCCTTCCACATTC